TTCTAGAATCCATAGTAAATGCAAGTGTTTTGCCCTTTCTACTTCAATTTAGGCAAGTGTGCTTTTTCTGGGGTCTCCCTTAGAGAAAAAGGAATTTTTTCCTGCATTGACTGGATAGACAAAAGAAACTGATGACATGTGATATAAAGATTTCTATTTAACTAAGTACAAATGACAACATTTGGTGAGAAGTTGACAATCAGGTTCTAAAAGAAGATGGGACACTATGATTGCCACTAACTCACCCTTAGGAGCACCCATAACGACTTAGTTAAACAGCTGCTAAAAAGTGCATGTGCTAAAGCTCTAATTTCCTATGCTCCTCAAGGAGGGAAAAGTATTGCCCTTTTCTCATTCCTTTTTTTGGAGAGCTGCAAAAGAGTTGGGCTGGGTACAGCCCAGTGCTTCTCCCCAGAGGTTCTCAACAACTGTAAAGAAGAGAAGAGGCTCTCTAACTTCATCCTCCTGCTAGTCTTTTTGGGAGGTACATCTTCATAATCAGCTCTTCTTGTATCCGGTTCTCTACACGCATTTGCACTCTGTACCAATTACAAATTTCATTCTTGTAATGCAGAGAACCATTAATAATTTAAGATTAGAAAGGAACCTAAGGGCAGGAATATTCCATTTCTGCTCACGAGATAGATGTTATTCTGCTAGTACGTCAACTCAGGTTATCTTTGTGCATGCTACGTTAATTCAGCAAATTGCTTTTCAAGCTGTGCTTTCAGAAAGTGCCTGGAGATTCTACAGGAGAAGAAAGTTTCATTTCTATGGAAAATGTGCCAAACCAACATCTAGAAAGTGAAATACAAACAGATTTTAGATTTGTCCATCTAGTTTTCACGTAGAGGGGGTAGCCACGGTAAATTTTCTGCATGAACGTGTAAAAGTCCTGCCAGGTGCGGCGATAACCACCACAGCGCACTGTTCGAACGCAGCGCGTTCAGAAACGCCGAACACCTAACGGTATCCAATGGCTCGGCAGCGATGCAGCACCACCGCCTGACACCCGGGCGAGCCGTCAGCAGTCCTGGCCTTGCCGCTGAAGGGCACGGGACACCAGGGAGAGCCGCGCGGGTACCGCGACCCCGCCAGGGCAGGAGCCGGGGGCTCCGGTCAGGAACGGGGAGCGCCCCCGGCCCGCTGGGCTCCTCAGCCACCCACCCCTCCTTCCTTCCCGCAGCGCAACTCCCACCGCGCCGGGTCACCGCGTCCCGCGGGGAGAGCCTCGGGAAGCCCAGACAGCGGGCAGCGCTGGGCAGCGCTGGGCAGCGCTGGGCAGCACCCGCCCGCTCCCTCCCTCCCTCCTTTCCTCCCTTCTTCCCGCGACCGGGGCCGCAGCGTCTCACCTGAGCACGGAGCGGGACCCGCTGAGGGCAGGACAGCAATGACCCGGCGCGGTGCAGTGCCCGGCGCTGCGTGCGGTGCGCGGTGCCCAATGCTCGGTGCTGTGTGTGGTGCGGTGCCCGGTGCCGTGTGTGCTGTGCCCGGTCCCAGTGCCCGGTGCTGTGCGGTGTGTGCTGTGCCCGGTCCCAGTGCCCGGTGCTGTGCGGTGTGTGCTGTGCCCGGTCCCTGTGCCCGGTCCCAGTGCCCGGTCCCAGTGCCCGGTGCCGTGTGTGCTGTGCCCGGTCCCAGTGCCCGGTGCTGTGTGGTGTGTGCTGTGCCCGGTCCCAGTGCCCGGTGCTGTGTGCGGTTCCCAATTCGCGGTGCCGGGTGCGGCGGGTCCCGCCCTGCCCTGCCCGGCCCGGCGCGAGCGGAGTGGGCGCGCGCGCCCCAGCCAATCAGCCCCGTCACGTGAGCGCGCCCCGGCACGCGGTGCCGCGGCCGTTACAGCAGCGCCCGCGCGCGCGCGGCGGGAA